AAATGTGTTTTCATGGTGAACATTGGGGAAGCTCATGGTGTTGGCACACCTGGTGAAAATGGCTGGCTTTCAAGATCCCACTGCTTTGGACCCTTCCCATGGAGTCCATTCTTTCCATCAGTTTCCTCCACAGTCATGGGCTCCTGTATGCTTCCCAGAGTGCTTGTCCACCTTCTGACCCAGTTATTTTAGAACTGGAAGTACCTTTGGCAAGTCAGGGTGTCACTGTATAACCCACGCTGGTCTTGGACGTGTGATCCTCTTGCTAAGATTACATGCACTGCTGTGGCCTGCTGCACATTTGTATGTGATACAAATACAGATGCCCTCATGGGATGAGCAGTTGACTTCAGCCCACATGTCTACAGCTGTATAGCCCAGGGCTTGCAGCCAACAGGTGCTACGAGTGAAGTGGACTGTGAGTGGGGAGTTGATGATCAGGAAAAATGCCTCTGACACCACCTCAGGAGTGTTTCTAAAAAAAAACAGGAAAAATAAATGATGGCATCTCTATAGAGGCATAGCTCCAGCCAAAACTAACTTCTTTCCATCTGGAGAAAGTAGAGTTTCCTCTCAATAACTTTCTTAGAGGTGGGGTTATTTTGTTCATTTTTTGCTTTATTATTTCTTTTATTTTTGAGATTATAATTAACATAATTTCCCACTTCTGTTTCTGCCCTCTAAACCCTCCATGTACGTCTCCTTGCTCTCTTCCAAAGTTATGGCTTCTTTTTGCAAACATCCAACCTGCTCAGTCTATATAGTGTTACATGTATATTTAGGACTGATCATTTGGTATAGCATAACCAATTGCTATGCATCTCCCTGGGGAAAATTAGTTCTCCCTTGTCCAGCATTCCATGATTGCCTATAGTTATTTGTTTGGGGTTGAGGCCTCCTGGGCTTTCCCCCATCCATTTTGACTTGCCTTGTTCACTCATGTTTAGGCACTCATATTGATAAGAATTTCTAAGTGTAGCTTCTGACATTACTTGGTGACCCAATCCCTCTGCAAACTCCTGATGTTCTGATTCTTAACAATCTTTCCACCCCCTCTTCCACAATGTTCTCTCAGCCTTTGGTGTGGAGAATCATTTTTGTTAGTGTATCCATTGGGACTGGACTCTACAACTCTGCATTTTGATTGGTTGTAGCTTTCTGCAATGGTCTCCATCTATTGCAAAACTGACTTTCCTTGAGAAGTGAGGACTACACTTTTCTCTGTGTGAAAGGACACATGTTCAGAATGCAGTTAGAAATTATCCTAGTTTAGTAAAGTGGCAGATGTAAATTCTCCAAGATCCATGACTTCACTAGCCTTGGGTAGCTGGCTAGTTTCCAATACCAGGCATTATTTCTCTCTTGCTAAACAGGTCTCTGTGAGCCCATAAGTAAAGTGATTATTTATATTGTTCTGTTATTAAGAATAACTAGGGAGTCAGATATTAGGGTAAAGACCTGATAGATCAGAGAATCAGTGAAGTCACCAGTGACATACTCTCACTCTCCTTCCTCCATCCAAAAGGGCTGTGAATCATTCTAACCCCCATCCTACTACTTCCTGTGTCTATGTCCTGGGTCATCCAAAACCTCTATGGCTATTTCTGGTCAGCTGGTAACTAACTCCTCCCTCTGATTCAAGGTAAATTTTATTGGCAGTCTTGGGAGTGTCAGACTGTGATCAAAATATTCCACAACGTATAGGTGCCCTGCTTAGTTGATTCAGTGAGCTGTGTTCTTCTGGTGCCCTCCATCCCCTCCTACAATCTTTCTACCTTCTCTTCCTCAAGGTTCCTTGAACTCCCAACGGGAAGAACCTGCTGGAGACCTCCGGTTTAGACGCTCTCACCTCATAAGTGTTTCTCAGCCATTTGAGAGTCCTCATTTGAGAATTCTGTTTAGATCTGTACCCCATTTTTAAGATTAGATTATTTGGCTTTCTGGTATCTAGTTTCTTGAGTTCTTTATATATTTTGAATATTATATGTCCTCTATCAGACGTAGAGTTGGTAAAAAAAATCTTTTCCCACTCTGTAGGCTGATGCTTTGTCCAAATGATGGTGTCCTTTGCCTTACAGAATCTTTTCAGATTCATGAGGCCCCATTTATTAATTATTGATCTTAGTGCCTGCCTTATTGGGGTTCTGTTCAGGAAGATGCCTTCTGTGCCAATGTTCAAGGCTATTCCCCACCTTCACTTCTATCAGGTTCAGTGTTATCAGGTTGAAGTCTTTGATCTACTTGGACATGAGTTTTGTACAAGATGACAGATATGGATCTATTCGCATTCTTCTAAAGTCTGACATCCAATTTGACCGGCACTATTTGTAAAGATGATTTCTTTATCCATTGTGTATTTCTGGCTTCTTTATCAAAAATCAGATTTCAATAGGTATATGGATTTATGTCTGGGTCTTCAATTCAATTCCATTTATCAACATATCAATTTGTAGGCCAATACCATGCAGTTTTTATAGTTCTGTAGTACAACTTCATTTTCATTGTGTCCTGTAAGTTTAGATATTCATTTTAATTCTAGAAATTTTTTATTTTTCTTGACCTGTTTTTCATTCAGTTTCCATGAGTTTGTAAGCCTTCTGTTGTTTCTGTTGTTGCTGATATCCATCCTTAATCCGTGGAGGTCTGACATGATGCAGAGAATTACTTCAAATTTCTTGTGTTGAGACTTGCTTTGAGTATGGGGTCAATTTTGGACAAAGTTCCATGAGGTCCTGAGAAGGTATATTCTTCTGTGTTTGGGTCAAATATCTGTTAGGTCCATTTGGTTTATGTTAACTCCAGTATTCCCCTGTTTAATTTTTGTCTGGATGAGAATAGGGTATTGAAGTCTCCCACTATCAATGTGTGAGAGTCAATGTGTGATTTAAGTTGTAGCAGTTTCTTTCACAAAAGCCGGTGCTCTTGTGTTTGGTATATAGATGTTAAGCATCCTGATGGATTTTTTTTTCTTTAATGAGTATGTAGTGTTCTTCCCCATCTCTTATTAGTTATGAAGTCTATTTTGTTATATATTAAAATGGCTAAACCAGCTCAGTTTTAGGTCCACTGCTTGGTTTGTTTCCAACCCTTTAATTTGATGTAATGTCTTCGGTGTTGAGGTGTTTTTCTTGGATGGATCGTTTCCACACTCATTCTGTTAGTATGAGTCTTTCTTATTGGGGAACTGACACCATTGATACCAATGATTGTTGATTACTGTTATTTCTTGGTGGTGGTGGGTGTGTATGTGCTTCCCTTCTTTTCGTTTTGCTAGTGTGTTTTCATGGATGTAGCTAACCTCCTTAGGTTGGAGTTTCCCTTCTACCACCTCCTGTATTTGATAGCTTAGATTTGACTTTAACATGGAATATCTTACTTTCCCCACCTATGGTGATTTAAAGTTTTGTTGGGCATAGTAGTCTGGGCTGGTTATCTGTGGTCTCTTAAGAGTCTGCAGCACATCTGTCCAGGCCCTTCTGGCTCTTAGAGTCTCCACCGAGAAGTCACGTGTAATTCTAATAGGTCTGCCTTTATGTTACTTGCAACTTTTTATATTCTTGCTTCACTCTGTACATTTAGCGTTTTATTATGTGGCCAGACTTTCTTTTCTGGTCCAATCTATTCTGTGTTCTGTATGCTGCTTGTACCTTTATGGGCATCTCCTTTTTTAGGTTAGGAAAATTTTCTTATATGATTTCATTGAAAATATTTTCTGGGCTTTTGATTCTTCACTTTCCTCTATATCTAATATTCTTAGATTTGGTCTTTTCATGGTGTCCCAGATTTCCAGGATGTTTTGCATCAGGGAAGTTTTAAATTTAGTATTTTTAAACCAAGGTGTAAATTTTCTATCATATTTTTCAATGCCTAGTATTCTCTCTTCCATCTCTTATATTCAGTTGGTGAAGTGTGCCTCTAATTTGAGTTCAAATTCCTAATTTTTCATTTCAGAATTAGTTTATTACTTCTTTTCCCATTTTCAGGTCTTGAACAGTTTTGTTTCCTTCAACTGTTTTTCTTGGCTTTTTAAAAAGGGTTTACTCATTTCATCCATTTGTGTTTTCCTGGCTTTCTTTATGGGATTTATCCATTTCCTCTTTAAAGACCTCTATCACCTTCATATAAGTAGTTTTAAGATATTTTTCTTGTGTTTCAGCTATGTTAGAATGTTCAGGGCCTGCTGTGGCAGGATAGCTGTGGCAGGTTCTGGTGGAGACATACTGTCCTTGCTTTTATTGTGGTTTTACCCCAGCATCTAAGCATATGGATTTAGGGTGATTACAAATGTAGGCTTTGTTTTCTGTGTGTTCAGGATGGGATGTTCAGTGGGATCCACAGGAAGCAAGGAGGCTACAGCCGGAGTGAGCCTGAGGGATTGGGCCTGCTGGGGGAATAGAAAGAACAGAGAAAAATCTGCAAACAGCCTACAGACTAGCTGGGGGCTGGGACACAACTGAGGGGAGGGAGGCTAGTAGGGGATGTTCTGTGATCAACAAGAAGTGTGGATGGGGGAAGGCAGGCTGCAGCTAGTGTTCTGTTGCAGCATTAGGTGTGAGTCTGTGGGACTGGCTGGGGGAAACAGAGAGCAAAGCAAATAAACTCTTTTCTTATACATTCAGCAAACTTTATATTGCAAAAAGAGAAAGAACAATTGAGACAGGTGTTTGCTCTCGTGCACAGGAATACATCTATCTGAGCTCTCTCACAGCTTTGCTTTGCAATGTTTACATAACACACATCAATTCTGACCCAGTAACAATGATAATTTCTTAGAATGTAGATATAAAATCTATACACTAATCTACTGAAATACTCGAAATTTTTAATCTTCAGTTAAACCATCATGAGAAAATCCAAAATGTCTCTCCTTTCCCTCAGCTATCACTCTCTGAAAGCTGGAATCCTCTCTCAGATCATGTAAAGACACACTAAAAGCACACCAAGAAAAAGAAAAAAAAGGTTCATCTTGCTAACATAATGCCCATAAGTCTGGTGAGATAATGCCCATATTTTAACCTTGAACCACAATGTCAGAGTTAAAGCTTCACTTAATTCATACAGTACATTATTAATTATCAACAGTGCCCCACTGACTCAGAAGTTCCCTATCTGGCTGTTGTCATTTATTACTTGTTTAAGCATGACTCAATCAAAGAGTGTGCTTGTATTAGGCTGCTGGTTTAATTTAGAATTAGAACGCTCATATTTGGGCAACTTTCAAATACAGAAATACTACATGTGGCATATGAACTATGAATTTTGTTTCCCATTACTACAGGAAGAATTTATTGAAATAAAATTTTACGAGACAAAATGCAAATCTACATGCTTATATTTAGGTGTGTACATGTATATACTAACCCTAACTAAAGCATTACAAGCAATACTAACAGTTCTAGTTACATATTCCCAAAGACTTAACTATTTTAAAGATACATGTTATAAAGACACTTATGTCAAAGGCAAAAATGAAGAATCAACATAATCTTTGAGGTTTTCAGTATTATTTCAAAAAGCTCTCTATCCTCCATAGAAGAAACTATGTATTTGTTTATTCTAGAAAAAAAATATAAAAGGATAATGCTATCATGTAAAGGATTCACAAAACCTATTTGTATAACCCATGAAAGCCATACCCACTGAAGGTAAACAGCAGTTATGGTCCCTACTGTATGACAGATACACCATCAGCTTTCCTCTTTGACAACAAGGGTTTATCTTTTTCAAACTCTCTTAACTGTGCCACAGAAATTCAAATCCTGTAGCAACAAGTTAAGACTACAAAATAAGGCATTCTGCTTACATGTCACAAAAGTAACAAGCTTAAAATAGTAAAGCATATTCTTAATGTCTTTACAATTTCATATAATCCAAACATTATACAGACAGCAATTTTACCCCCAAAATACAATTAATTGCTACTTTCCAGGGGGGGAACATCTTCAACTTTGGCTCTCTCTCCTACCATGATCTTTAAGTCTAGGTAGGTCACCCACTAAAAAGTTTTTCAAATTATATTATATCTAATTTGATAAAAATCCCTGTAGTTTTATTTAGGGAAGGAAAGAAAAGTGGACTTGGCACAGACATGCCAACAGGGTAACGAAGTTTCCTTAAACAAAACTTCATCCTCCACACACAACCCAAACCTTCCATCCACCTGCAACAGGTAAGAGGCAGCAATACCACCTCTATCAGCACAAGGGAGAAAGCTGAAATGCTCTGAAACACCTAGTATTTCAACTGTAGACTTGACATCAAAGATGTACTCTAAAATACATGTTGTTTTTTTTTCTGAAATCTGGATTTGACTGCCCATCACACTTTTACATTAAATGTTGCTTAAATAAAAATAATTTCAGTATTCTACCACCTAAAGATCGTAAAGCAATGGTTATACATCAGCAGCAGCAGGTAAAATGCACCTAATTTGGGTCCTTGACACCTCTTGTTTAAGTTTATTGTACGATAAAGTTCTTCACAGTTTAAAATATTGTGAAGTGAGATTTTATATATAATTATATTCACATACATACTATGTACACATACTATCTGAGGTGTCCATAAACCTGGAATATGTGTTTATCAGTAGGGTACCCCACTTGAGCAGGAACCCTGAACAGATTGGTGTGGACTGTCAAACAGTTTTCAAGAAATGCTTAGAAATAAGACAAGAATATTATTATGAGCAATTATAATAAAACTTCACCTTATTTACATAGTGCCTATCTCCCAAGAGGTAAAATATGCTTCATGGATATTTTTCAGTATCTCTGTGAGGCAGGACATTGGGGACACTATCATTTTCCACAACCCAGGGACTACTAGGACAATGTACTTTGACATCGGCAGAGCAAAATTCAAACATGTAAAGACCTCTAGGCTCTCAGTCTCCCTTACTACATTTCAGTCTTTTTTTGTTTTTTTGAGACAGGGTTTCTCTGTGGCTTTGGAGCCTATCCTGGCACTCATTCTGCAGACCAGGCTGGCCTTGGAACTCACAGAGATCCACCTGCCTCTGCCTCCCGGGTGCTGTGTCACTAACGCCCAGCTATGCCACCAACGCCCAGACACATTTCAGTCTTGTGGTACAACAGAACTCTCAGCACAATGGGTTAATGTCTAAGTCTTCCTATATCACCAATGTGTGTTAGATTTCTACCACAGGGAGATCAAATGGTATTTTGGCTTTGGCAGATGAAAAAGTCTAACATTCAGTGTGGTTATAACTCAGTGTAACTTCTCCAGTCTAAGTGCAACACAGCCGATTGGTCTGGGGGGGGGGGGGGGTGTCTAACATGGCAATGAGTTCTCATCCAAACAGCTACTGGTAACTGACTACAGAGACAGCCCAGGACCTGGCACTGTCTAAGGTCTTTTCTAATTCCACATATGGTATACACATATAAATAAGCATCTTAGCACATAATGTACAGCTGCATCAGTTCAGGTTCCAAGGCCTTATGGGTGAACTTTAAAGGCCAAGAGCTCCTCAGAGTGCATATTGTTTAAAGATCGAAGATCTGGCAACTTTAGAAGTAATTTTGTAAAAATGGAGGCCTCATTTGGGTGGTTTTTCATGATTAAGGTCCTTAGTGCACGGATGAGCGTTTCTTGCAAAGCTTCCACCGAGTTGACATTTTCAATTCCAGACCGATCTAAAGGGAAGTAAGGAAGAGAGAACAATGAAGGAAACAATATATATTTTTACTTGATGATCACTACCAAATTCAAAATAGTTTTACACACTATAAAAAACACAAGCTTAAAACTGTAAAAATTGTTAGCCAGGCATGGTGGCACACACCTCCAGCAATTGAAAGGAAGAGGTCTGAGGTCAAGGCTAGCCTGGGCTACTGAGCAAGTTCCAGGACAGCCAGAGCTACAGAGAAACCCTATCTCAAATTAAATAAATTTTTTAAAAAAGGAAAAATTCTCAATGGGAAGTTTTATAGTTGCTTATTGTGCATATATCTCACATTTGGTAAATCAGAATTCTTAGTAGTTGGAATTTTGTTCATATAAGTTTAGAGGTTCTAATTTCTTTTTTTTTTCTAATGTATATGGGTGTTTTGCTTGCAAGTGTGTCTGTGTGCCCTGTGTATGCCTGATGCTGAGGAGTCCAGTGGACCCACTGGATCCCCTGGAACTGGAGTTACAGATGGTTGTGAGCCACTATGTAAGTCCTAGGAATCAAACCCTCTGGAAGAGCAGCCATTGTTCTTAACTGCTGAGTCATCTTTTCAACCCAGAGTTTCTCAGTATTTAAATCTGCTGCTAACATCAACTGCTTCTGGTTGACAAGATAAAATAATGCAGAAATATACCTTTACCACATATGGACTACATTCCCACTTCCATGCACAGTTGATTCCCTACCCTAGTATTCACACCTTGTAGTCCCTTCCTAGAGAGGATGTGGGGGGATTTCATCACACTACACTGTGAACCCCAAGTTTGCATTTGCATTAATTAAATAAAATTAACCTTGGCCAGGAGGCTGAGTTAGCAACTAGTTGGCCAAAGTAATCGAAGAGCATCAGAGAGCATCTGGACAAGATAGAGAGATGCACCAGAAGTAGTAGGGAGGGATTTGGAGAGAAGCAGCTTTTTTTCCTTTGGCGGAACAGAAGGATGCTTTCTTTTTAGAGATGCCAGCAAGGAGAGAAGGTTACTAGATGCTATTCAATCTCTCTGAGCTAGCAGGTTTTCACCCCAGCCTTTGAATCTCAAATGTTATTTATAAATAAAATGATAGAGTTCTAGTTAAAGCTACCTTTAGCAGCAGCAGCAGAGCTCATGCCTGCAGAGATAGAATTCCTTCCAGGCTGCACCTCAGCAGCCAGGTCACTGCCAGAGAAGCAGGGAAATAGCAGTAGATTAAGGCACAGCCAATGTGCTAAAGTTAAAACAAGAGGGCTAGACTTACTGATTCCCACACAATGAATAAAATGTGGCCACTGAGAGGAGCAAGCCTTTATGGCTACTGTCTGGAGAGATACCTTGAGAGGAAGTTGATACAACCAAAATGCAAGGTGTCAGGGAAACTGGGAACATCACAGAGTCATAAGGAAACACTGTAACAACTCAGACATAAGGAAACACTGTAACCATTCTAACAGCAAGTAGCCCCATACTAGGTTCACATGAGAAAAGCCTTTGCTCTAACAGGATGTGGAGTCTGAGGCACAGAAGGATGAAATTATCAGTCATGAATTAAAGGCATAACCAGATTTTGAGCCAGCCTGCTTACCTGCAGATACCAGAACAACTGCTGTGAACAAGCTCATCTCCTCATCACTGAGCTGGAGAGCGTTCAGCTTCTCACTAAACTCAAACATAGAACTGAGCAGATCCCCTGCTCCCATTGAGTGCAGGTCATCCACACTGTACTTCTTCCCACTTAGAAAGGTGACAGTCCGCTCCTTTGCATCAAATAATGAAGCAAATCGTACCATTAGAACCTGGAAGGCAGAACATTCAAATGTATTTGGAGAAGTTCATTCAGAAAACTAAGATATAACTATTCAAATCAGTTAAGAAACATCGTACGTATAAATGGAATTTTATAAAAAGGAAACTGAATTTATATCTAGAACTTTAAAGGCTAATTCTCCACCAAAGCAATAAATATCCCAACATCAAAAGAAAGTCCAGATAGCAATGGCAAATATACTAAACACTCTTAAACTCTGTAAGCAGATATTCAGAAATGCAAATATAAAATTAAAGTGAACAATGATGTCACTGAATTAATAAATGGAGCCTGACCAAAGGCATTCAAGATATTCTTCAGGGTCCCAAGCATGTTTCAGGTGTCTATGCCCTGAGAGAAGTCCTATTTCAATAGAGCATCACTGAGAACCTTCAAAAAACCAAAGGCAGCCAAAGCAAACACATCACACAAACCCTACTTAGATCACTGCAAGACCCAGAGTGTACACCTGAAGACAGCCATCACAGCAAGTGACTGCTACTCAAGCCCAGGAAAATACTATATTAGGACAACAGCATTCCCTACATTCCACTGTCTGACACTAATGCTGTCTTTATGCCTCTTTTACAACTGAAGGTGCACTGTGCTTTCTTCTACAATGCCCCAAACAAAGGTGGGTTGATCAGACAACCCAAAAGGGGGTGATTATCCTGTAATAATGGTGCCAATTACTTTGGAGCACAGTCACATGGTAGAAAGAACATATATCTTGATGTCCAGGACCCATGTTGAAATCCTTGCCACCCTAAGAACTCTCATGCTTGGTACAGAGTTGAACATTTCCAGTCCCAAGTAGTTCAATGTACCTGTCCCTTCTCAAAGCCCTGGGATAATTATTGTTTTGTTAGTTTGAGATTCTGAACTATAAACATTTATTTAGAAAAGAAAAAAAAAGTAGGTACATGGGCTTCACATCAACAGTCAGGATGAATAAAACCTACCTCAAAAGTGCCAGCTTTTAAAAGGTTGACCTGATCATGCTGAGACAGATCTCGGAAACCAGGAATACGTTTTGCAAATTCCACCACTTCTTTTACTGCTGGTGTAAAACTCATTGAAAATTCTTCCCAGATTTCATGCCCAGACTTCTGAGGGTCCACATATGGAGACTTGCTCATAGGACAAACCTAATTTACAGGAAATAGAAAAACTCTTAAATTGTGAGGGGGCACAAAGAATTCAAAATTGTCATCTCAATCATGAGAACCCTCAACAAGAAGTAACTCCCTAACTCAAGCAAGATTATCCATTAAAACCCTTCCTCTGTATGCATTTCACCTCAGCACAAGAACCCTCACAGCAGTCACACTTGTCAGTGAACATAAGAAAATGGGTGAATCCTAGACACTGTAAGGTGGGTAAATAAAATGGATGTTTTACAAATCACATATTCAGGTTGGAGAGACGGCTTAGCAGTAAAGAGTAAATACTGCTCTTCTCAAAACCCAAGTTCAGTTCTCAGCACACATGTCCGAGGCTCATGACTGCCTGTTAGATGCAGCTTCAGGGGCACTAACATCTCTGGCCTCCTCCAGCACTTTCACACACGTGCACATACCCACTCACACATGCAGATAATTAAAAATTCGGCAGCAAATGAGTTTAATCCCAGAAAAAGGGAAGCAAAGGCATGAGGATTTCTGAGTTCAAGGCCAACTGGTACACACAAATAGTTTAAGGTAAACCTTAAGTACACAGTAAGACCCTACACCTCAAAACAAACAAAAAAAAATACATTTTTAAATAAAATAGAAATCACCTATCTTTTACATTTAAAAAGCCTTGTACAGGGCAGTGGTGACACGTCTTTAATCCCAGCATTTGGGAGGCAGAAGCATGTGGAGCTCTGTGAGCTTGAGTCTAGCCTGGTCTGCAAAGCATGTTCCAGGAAACCAAGAGCTGTTACACAGAGAAAACCTTTCTTGAAAAAAAAAAAATAAATAAAAAAAATAAGGGGCTAGAGAGATGGCTCAGAGGTTAAGAACACCGGTTGCTCTTCCAGAGGTCCTGAGTTCAATTCCCAGCAACCACATGGTGGCTCACAACCATCCGTTATGAGATCTGGTGTGCAGATATACATGGAAGCAGAATGTTGTATACATAATAAATTCTTAAAAAACAAAAAAACAAATAAAAAGCCTTGTAAAGCTAGGAGTGGTGGCTCACATCTTTAATCCCAGTACTAGGGAGGCAAGCATATCTCTATTGAGTTCCAGCCTGGTCAACACAGTTCCAAACCAGTCAAGGCTCTACACAAAACCTTGCCTGAATGAATGAATGAATGAATGAATGAATGAATGAATGAATGAATGGATGGATGGAGTGGGCAAGACAGCCAGTCCTATAAACTAAGTGTGATGGCACACACTTTTAATCCCAGCACTAGGGAGGCAGAGGCAGGCAGATCTGAGTTCCAGGTCAGCCAGGACCACAGGAGCCCCTGTCTCAATTATGCTTTAGACAGCCTAAGACAACCTAATCTAAATAGCTATAGACGTTTAAGAGGTAGCCTAGGAAAAACACTATCTAAAACCAACCTTTTCAAAAAAATCTTGCACAGGCCTAGTGTACTCTGTAACACTGCTGCCACCTCCCATGGGCATGCAGTGCTTTCAAGTTTTGAGAACAAATCTTCCCATTTGTTTCTCACCTTGGTTATTATGGCCTGATTGTAATGACCTGGGAGTCTGTGTATTTGTTTTATGGCTGGAGAGACAGTCGTGGGTGCTGGGAACCGAAGCCTTACTTTGGGTTGTAAGCACAGCCTTTAATGGCTGAGCTATCTCTCCAGTCCGAGTCTGTTTTTTTAGGCACCATCTCAGTGTATAATTCTTTCCTTAGATGAGTACATGAGCCTCTGAAAGACTCAGTACCTTATCCATACCCAAGTGAGGTCACAAACCTGTACTTAGTTCCTATTTCAGAACTCATTTGTTCCTCAGTAAACTAAAACACTGAACCTTCTAAAAGGTAAGCAGCATAGGGTGCCTTATTAAGAGAGTCACAATGGTGACCAGGGACCTCCACCTGCTCGGCTAGGAGACGGACTGGGTACCACATACACCTTCCAAACAGGAACTGAGGGAAGCCAAAGAAGTTGTAGGAACACTAAAGAGACAAGAAGCATGTACCATATAGTCTATTATTAAAACTAGCTTTTATTTAAATTCCTACTAAACCCTAAGAGTCCAGGAATGAGATGATTCTTAAGCCTGGAGACTGCCATGAAACAGAACCTAAAAAGTCTACAAGTGTCTAGAGGAAGAACCCAAGGACACAAGGTAAACATGTCTTAGAGCGCCTTTCAGACTCACACTCAGACACTGGCAAGAGACAAAAGAAACGTGAACATGAAGACTGGGATACAATCAACTATTTTTAAGTTGGAAAAACAAAAGATAATTACCTGGCAATTGTACAACACAAGCACTATCAAAGGACTTCCCAGTTTAAACTGGAAATGGAATAGTACTGCTGTTTTGATGAAATTCTGGTCGAACATAAACACCGTATATTTTGGGTAGAATGTTGAATTTGATGTAACAAATTTGAATGATATGAATAATATTAACTTATCTCAGGATAAAATCCTAGAAATTAGGCGATTAAATTAGTCCTTAATTCTAAAACCATAAAAGATCTATCTTCAAAGCTCTCCCTACATCTTAACTAAACAGAGGCTAAAAAACCTCTCTGCTAGGCAGTGATGCACCCTGAAGTCCCAATGATCCACAAGATCACTTGAGCCCAGGAACTCAAAGCTAGTCTGGGCAACATAGCAAGACTGTCCTCACAAAGAGCAACAAAACCTCTCTCCATAGAAATCAAAGAAGCTAAAAAGATCAACCCTTTTGGAAAAGATCCCAAAGTTAATGAAGTACTAATTTATCAGAACACCTAAATTTCCGAGATTTCCAAGTATTATAGGATCAATTCTGTGTGAATCATATTTTATACAAATCTTAACCCTACAGTAGTAAAGAAAGTACAAGCCTGTACCTATTGCTATGTGAAATTAAGTTAGTCCACAAGCATTGCTTATTAGCATTATTTCACTAAAAATACTACACAAAGAGGCTTCTAGAAATCTCCCTTGGGCTTCCTGACCCACCTCCCAAGTCAGCATACCACCCCCCACCCAAAATAAAACCTTCCAAGCTTTCCTTGATACAAGGCGAGCAAAGAATCGATTTCACTATACCAGATGCATCCTCCCTCCAGTGTTGCACAGGAAACTATTCTTGTTCTCATTCTGACAGAATCCATCTATTGGAACTCTATCACAGACTCTTTAAGTATAAGCACTGGAGAAGTTCACACAGTGTCCATTTGCAATACAAATGGCATGCCCATTTGGGTAATGCATTATGTTCCTCCCTTTGTACTGTCCACTGAGATGCTGCTGGCTCTCACTACAGGTAAAGTGGCTGTGAAGCCCACTGCTACAGTGGTCATGATTTAAATTATATTGCTCCACGTTCCTGGGGATCCGTTCTCCTCTCTGGGATGGCATGCTCTCAGCTGAGGTTTCCCGATGCTCTTGATTATACAGAAAGGTATCCTTGTGGGCTCTGGTCACCATGCCAATCACTTCCTCCTTTGCAAAATCAGAAGAGGGAGGAGAGCTTTTGAGGTTTTCTTGCTCCAGCTGGGGCTTGGGCCGCAGCTGTTCCTGAGCTGATAAGGTTGACTGTTCATGACGCTCTGCTAAGGTGTCATTTTGCAGGTGGCCATTGAACTGGGTGTTCATCATGGTCTTCATTGCACTCTGCATTTCAATTAGCATTCTCTGTTTCTCACGCTTAGGAATTCGGCCAAATCGAACAGCTATTGAGGAGAAAGACAGTGTCAGTGTCTATATTCTAACAGGTTCTGCTTATATGAAATACTAACACAAAATTGCCTCTGAGCCGGGCGTTGGTGGCGCATGCCTTTAATCGAATGCTGTAGAGCATTCGAGATCAACTAGGGCTATATAGTGTAATACATAATACATAGTATAATATAGTACACAACACATATATATTATTTTTATGTATATGAATGTGGTGCATGTAAGTATACCACAGATGACCAAAAAAAAGGTATCAGGTCCCTGGGTACTAGAGTTACAAACAGTTATGAGTCACTATGTGGATGTTGGGAACTGAACCTAGGTTTTCTACAAGAGCAGTGAGTGCTTTTAATCACCAAGCCATCATTCTACACCAAATAACTGCCCCCCCCCCAGAGAAAAACCTGAAATCACTTAGGAAAAATGGAGGTCCAGTTACAAGAAGCAACATAAAAAGGAGCCGTGCCAACAGTTGCCTCTGAGATGAAGGCCCTCATCCTACCATAGTGAGTTTCAATCCACAAGATGTCACACTGGGCTTCCTGAAATCTCCACTTCCCCATAAGAGGGTCTAGTAACTGCTGACAGCTCAGTGGCCAACTTTACACTTTACAAAATCTCTGAGCTGGGAACTTACCGTCTCTTGACATTCCCACTGACAGACACTTTTTGAAGCGACACTGCTGGCATCGGTTCCTGTTCATCCTCATGATAGAGCAGTTCTCATTCTTCAGGCACTTCTTGTATTGGATGTTTTGCTGAATGCTCCTCCGAAAGAAACCCTAAATTAAAGGAAGATTTATCCATCCATGTAAAAATAGCTGCATGAAGTTCTCACAAGAACTAGTCCCACATCTAACTAGTGTATGTAGAGCTTGGCCCAGGTCAAAGAAAAGAAAATCCTGACACAGAATTTAACTGGATCCTTACTAGTATCAATCAGCAAGTACAAGATATACCAACCAAATTCCTCTTCCCGCTGAAGATACTTTGTGCTGGCCCAAAGTACCTATTTGTAAGCACTCCTCCTGCTAGACCTCATGCTCTACCTTGAAAGCAAATTCTATTTTTTTTTTTTTTTTTGGAAATGGGACTCATGTAGCCCAGGGTGGCCTTGAACCCATTATATAGCTTGGGATGGTCTTGAACTCCTCTTCCTCATACCTCCACTTCCCAAGTGCTGTGATGACAAGCATGTGCCACCATATCTAGCTTTCATAACTTCTGAAACATAAGTAAGTTTCAGAAAGCTGAAGAGTTTCAACAGAACCTTATGTTAACAATAGCAGAGCTTTGTCATTTCTGGATCATTACCTACTGACACCAACAAAGCCTACACACTCATGCTAGATGTCCCTGACCATAGGTCAGCAGCCATGTCACAGTACACACCCAGAGCCATCTATCATCCAGGGAAAGAGTTCCCAGGCAGATGACTATAAATAGGTATCTTAACTACACAAACTATTAAGTACATGCTCTATGCCAGGTCTTCATAGACCCTCTAGCTCAATGTTCCCAAAAAGAAAAGAAAACTTGAGAAAAATAACTGCAAAATCATTTCAAACTGTCTCTCCCCCTAATATTATAACTACACATGATATATCTTTGTTAAATACTGACCAGATATAAATAAATAACATTTTTGCTTCTTACTGCTGTGATACTATATACTTGGCTTAAACAACTCAAGAGCTAAAAATAGGTACTGAGGGCTAGGAGGTAGCTTAGTGGTAAAGAGCAGCCTAGCCTGTGTGAGACCTTGGGTTTCATTCCCAGCACTGCCCCCAAAAGCATTCATTAAGCAGAATATGGTGGCACACTCCTGTAATCCCAGTAACTTGGGAAGCTGAGGTGGATTGAGTTCTAAGTCAGTCTGGGTTACATCAAACAGACACCACCAAGATATTGATCAATTATTTGTATTTATCAATGAGGTGCTAGAGAGATGGTTTAGTACTTAAGAGCACCGGCTACTCTTCCAGAGGATCAGCACCCACATGGAAATTCACAACCATTTGTAATGTGTGTTCCAGAAAATCTAACACCCTCTTCTAGCCTCCATAGGCACCAGGCACACAAGCAGTGCACAGACATATATGCAGGCAAAACAAGAATGTACATAAAATAGTAAAATACTTTTTAAAGAGAATACATAATACATTTCATTCAGATCATGGTTTTACTTTCTAGCTGAAGAACTTAGCTTAAAAATGCTTCACATTTTAAAAATATATACAGAATTTATACAGTTCTTTAAAACAGTAGAAAAGGGCTACATCTACACAACACTTACTAGATATTAAAAAGCTCCCAGTTACAACTCAATTCAAAACTGTCCCAAGAGACTTGCTCTTTCACTATGAATGTTCCTTATCTTATTCGTTCCGCCATATCCTGCCAAACTCTAGCCCACTCTAGTGAGAAAACGGCAGAACACATGCCATCCTTGTTAATGTTTAGTAACAGGGAAAAGTGTTGTGTCACATTTAGGAGACATTCGTAGATGTGGGTAAGGAGGCAGAGCTACTTCAATGAGGCTACCTAAGGCTCTGGTTGCAAGCACTAGAAATAATCAACTTATAAATCTACTCTTTCCTGAATATTCCATTTGAATTCAAGATGATCTGACTCCACTTGTATTATATTATTTGTTGCTATTACTTATTTTTGCTCATTTTGTGTTTGAGATAAAGTCTTATTAAGTAGCTCAGGCTGGCTTGCCTCAAGCATTATTTCTCAGCACACTATATTTTGGCAAATACTTAGCAGTTATTTCCAGCCCACAGTACCTAACAAGGTCTAAGATCTGATATGGTTTGAATATGTTCCTCAAAGATCATGTTCTAGAAAATTAACACTCAATGTCACAGTCTTGAGAGGCAAGACTAGTGGGATCCTATGTGTTCTGTTTTCTTCAACTGGCTAATGTTAATATAAAAATGGAGTTGTTATAAAAAAAAAAGTTGGGAGCAGGCATGGTGGTACATGCCTGTAATCCCAGAAGAAGCAGGTGGATCTCTGTGAGTTTGAAGCCAGCCTGGTCTACATGATGAGCTCCAAGGCTACATATAGAGTCCTTGCCTAAAACAAAACAAAAAAAGTTAGCTGGGCTCATTCCTATACACACCCAAGCTCACATATGCATAAGCACTCTATCTGCTCCTATTCAGTGTCTTCCATCCTCCAACAGAAAGGCTCTCCCAAAATGCAGCCCCCAGTTTCCAAAATTCTAAGGCAAATTAACTCTACCTTCGGTACTCTGCTTCGGCAAACGGAACATACTAAGACCTAACTCAAATCTTGATTTGTAGGCATGGTGCCTGTAATCCCACCCCTTGGCAGGAAGCAGGATTGCAAGCATTGGGTCATCTTCCATTGCCATACACAGCAAGTACCAGGTCATCATCCACTGCCTTACATACCAAGTACTAGATCATTCTCCACTGACATACATAGCAAATATTAGGTCATCCTCACTTCCCTACAAAACAAGTACCAGTCATCCTCCACAACCCAACATAGCAAGTACCAGGTCATCCTCCACTGCCATATACAGCAAGTACCAGGTCATCTACCACTGCCCTACACTCAAGGTACCAGGTCATCCTCCACTGCCCTATACAGTAAGTACCATGTCATCCTCCACTACCCCATACAGTAAGTACCGGGTCATCCTCCACTCCTGTACATAGCAAGTTCCAGGCCGGCCCTAGACTACCAGAGACCCTGTCTCAAAAGCACAAAAAAGAATAAAAATTGAACTACCCCAACAAGGCAGTGAAACCCCTAAATGTCTGACTCATATCTATTTCCTGACCATGTGCCTGACTTAGACAGTGAATGAAATAGAACTGCGGCTGCTCCACACCCCAAGTCACTGGAACTAGGACAGCAAATTTATTTTGATCAGAATCTTAAATCTGAGGACGAACAGCTGATTCCTCCCTCCCTTCTAAATAAACTGTGGACATTCACAAACCTAACCCGCTTTCTTTAGTCCCAGAATTAGAATGGTAGTAAGAAATAAAAGCTTGCGTTACCTTACAGCCTTCACAAGCATGAACTCCATAGTGGAATCCTGACGCCACATCCCCACAGACTTTACACAGTAGAACCATGCCACTAAATTCTAGGGCACAAACAGACAGGAAATAAAAAGCTAAAGAATCACTCAAGTGTTTTTCCCAATTGAATATTTTATCTCATTCAATTTGCAAGTGATTTAAAAAAAATATACTTATACCTTTGTAGCACAGAAAAAATCTCTATACCAAATTAACAAAGGAAAGCCAGTCTTCTTTCCTCTCCCTCCCCCAGTACTGGGGATGAGCCAGAGGCCCTTGCCCACACTAGGCCAAATGCACCAAGCTACACCCCCAGCGGTAGCTGACTTTTTCCATTTTGATGATTTTAAGTATCCATGGAAATTTTGTAAATCTGTAGTTACCTTATGCCATACATGCAACAAGAACTAAGTAAACAATTTTCCTAGAGAAAAAGAATTCAGAGAAATTAATCAATAGAAAATGTATCTCGGGGTTGGACGGCAATGGCTGACAGATGGCTCAATAATTAAGAACACTTGCAGCGGGCCACGGTTCAATTCCCAGCATCCACATAGCAGCTACCAATAACTTAACTCAGTCCCTTCTGATCAGGTAGGGTGCCCCCTTCTGGCCTCCAAGGACACCTACACAGACACACATATAGTGCACATACATTCTTCCAGGGCACCTACACGCAGACGCAGACACAGACACAAATGGTGCATATATATTCTTCCAGGCTCACACACATACGCATAAATTTTAAAAGCAAATAAATAAGTGAACCTTTTCTACAAAAAAGAAAATGTAAAGAAGGCTGAAGGTATATTTCAGTGAAGAGTGCTTGCCTAGTGAACATGGGACCTGAGCTCCTTCCCCAGCTTCATAGAAAAAGAAAAAAATTTAAAGTTGCAAAGGTTTTGAGTTGTGCTGCGTCAATTCAACAGCAAAAGCTGGGCAAGCCCCAGCCCCATGCCTTCTCTACCAGCTATGCTAGCTGCCTTCCACCCACACTCACCCAGGTAAGCCGGTGGTTCCTAATCCCAAATGTTTCTAGTTCTGACTTCATGAAAGTAAACCCTTCCCACAACCAGAGACAAGGCTCAACAGTAGGAGTCCAGCAGAAAGGTACCTCCAAGTGTGTGGTAAAGGAAGAAGAGACATAACTTGGCCACATAGGACCACATGACAGCCAGTCCCTGGCTGAAACGTCTAAAACCATCACTGATGTTTCGCCTAACCACTGATCATGGTAACCAGAGGGAGAATAAAGTAGAGTAGTGCCCAAAGGAAAAGCCTGGGATAGAAAACCCATCTGCATCAGTGGTCACAATATAAAACACTAGCAGACTTACTTGTCATACCGCTGTGACTCTTGGTCATGCCAGGAGCACCAGGTTTGCCTGTTTTCACAGGACAATCTGTGTGATCACTCTTCAAGACACCGTCGATGCTAGAGATATCACTGTTCTTGGGATTTCCGTTGGCATCAGAGTTAGAGCTATTTGGAGAAGATGGAACAGATGAGGACGAGGACTGGAAACTGTTCTCAGAACCCTCACTGTGACAAGAGGCAGGACTGGAGGCAGAGCTGGAGGAACTGATGTAGGCAATCACACCTCCTAGAAAGCAGTACAAGTAGACAATTAGATACAAGATGATACATGTATTTGATTTTTACTCATGAATGTTAGAAAAGTCACTAACTTCAGAAACAAAAAGTGATTGACACTATTTCTGTTTATACCAAAAGACTTTTTCTTGTTTCAGATTACTCCTTCCACAAGTTCAAAGCTATGTTAAGTGCTTTTGATTTAGCCATGAGAAAGCCTTCAATAGCTTGTTTGTCATAAGCATATAACAGACACAAACCTAGCCTCTGAGTGCCTTTAAGGCTCAAATCAGAAAATTGCTGTAGACAAACCTGCACTAGTCCTAGCTTCCCTGGTACTCCAGTGCTTGCTTCCCCAGCACTTAGCTGAGACAAAGGCCAATGGGAACAAGGGTTCCATTTAGACTAGGAGACAAAGTCTTTATCTTAATGCAGAGAACCTTTCCCAGCTGCTGCTCCCCAATCTTGCTGCTCTGATTCTGCCTGAAGACAGGACTCCCCACTGAGTCCACAGCCCACTTCCTTCCTGGACCCACCACCCACCACTGGACTTATACACTCATCTGTATTCAGTTCTTAAGGATCCAGACGCACTGCATGTTCTTCTAACACACTGTTAACAGGCCACATTAAAGAGACTGGCAGAAGATACACTATGCAAGAACAATAGTAAGGCAGAAGCTAATCTTATCTACCAGACATCCTCCTGGCTGCTCAAAGCAGGACAGTTAAGTTCATGGAAGTAACCTCCACAATCCCTCAGCAAACTGGCTTGGGCCTCTGCAAAGCTATAATCTGCTCAGGATGAGATAGTGTTTAAAAGTGTTCTTAGGGTATAATTTTAAACTTGTTCCCTAAAAGAGATAAAATACTCCAAGAGTAACCTCAAGGCCAAATATATTATTTTCCTAAATCCCAGACCAAACAAGTAATTCACCTCTTCTCTCCCAAGGTCCACTGTGGTTTCTCTTGCCTCCATCATCAAATATTCACTGGTTCCTCAGTGTACAGCAGAAACGACAGTCACCTTTCCCAGCACTGTACACTCCACCTACTGTCTGCCTGCTTTCACCTATTTTCTGGCTGTAATCCTCAGTACACTTTACAGGGATGAACCCTGCCACACATACTTTCTGCCTTTGTGAAGTCCACACTGACTAGTAAATTCTAAGTGGTGTAAAATATAAATGAGATGCCAAGGTATCAGACATGGGGCTCCTGACAACAGTCTAGCTGTATATGCACATAGGAGGTGGAGAATGTCAAGTGCAATGGAAGCATTAACTTGAAAATTTAAAATGTAAGATGTGGCTCAGTGGTAGTGTACTTGCCTAGCCAGCAGGATGAGGCCCTGGGGGTTCAATTCTCAGTACTGGGAAAAGAAAAAGAAGTTTCCTAAAGATAACAGCTCTTTGGCCTATCTTTGACCCAATTTTGGTAAAGATGAGATCTGTGTTTATCAGTTGCTTAAAAATATAAGAGGTGGAGGACGGCAAAAAAAAGTTCCACATATATTGGAACTCCAATATAAGAGTTCCACAGGCAAAGAGCGTGTAACACACAATGACCACAGTTCAGATCCCCAGAACCCAGCCAGGTAAAGAGACAGGAAAGGCTATAGAGATGCTCAGGCATGAAGAGCACCTTCTCTGCTCTTGCTGAGGACCTGAATTCAGTTCCCAACACCCACATCAGGCTGGTCACAATCACCTGTAACTCCAGTTCCAAGAAATCTAACACCCTCCTTCTGGGCTCCACAGGGAGCCCCTGCATACATGTGCACGTACACACACACATACATATACATAAATCTTAAAAATAAATGTCAGGCAGTCACAATGTGTAATCAATGTGCATGGGAAAAGGGGGTCAATCTCTTGAGTCAGAGAACAGCCAAACAATTCAGCAAAGGGACCAACCTTACTATGTGAGGTAGAGATCAATCAAGGCACACACCCAACAGCAACCTCCAACTTCCACATGCATGTGTACCTGCACACTTGCCAACACATATACATAGACACACACACACACAGTAATAGTAATAATTTAATATAAATAAATAATCCACACAGCAAACAAGTTGAGGCTCAAACAACCCTCCCAAATCCAGATACTTTCATTTACAGACAGGAGAGAAAAAAACTAGGTACAGGAATTTAAACCACTTTCAGTCTATTGTGTTGAAATCAGCTATTCAATGTGTATTCAAGTACCAAACACCCACATCCTAATGGGGGATGTCCTTCTGTATGCTGTGAATATATGTTTCTCTTATTGATTGATGAATAAAGCTGTTTCAGCCAATGGACACACAGTATTTAGCCAGGCAGGAAATCCAAACCAGGATAGAGAAAGGGAAGAAGTGGAGTCAAGGAGGCACCCGGTAGCTGCTAAGGGAGCAAGAGGTCCGGGCATCACCAGTAAGCCAAGACCACATGGAGATAGACAGAATAATAGAAATGGGTTAATAATTGAGAGAGCTAGCCAATAAGAAGTCTGAGCCATCAGACACAGTTTATAATTAATATAGGCTTCTGTGTGTTTATTTGGGAATAAACGGCTACAGGACCAGGAGGAACAGAAACTTTCGTCCACAACATCCAGATCGGAAACCTAAGGAGTAAAATACAACCACAGCTCTCAGGAGGCTGCTACAATCCAAAAGAGGGAGGGGACAAGTGCCTCCTTAGCTAGAATTTCTCAGTATGTGAAAATTCAACTGCACATACTTCACAAGATTGTTTTAATTTATGTGCCTATGTTTGTGTTCATAAATGTATGCCAAGTGTGTGTGGGCACCCACAGAGTCCAGAAGAGGGCATCAGATTCCCTGGAGCTGGAGTTACTGGCAGTTGTGAACAGCCCAATGTGGGTACTAGGAACCAAATCTGGTCTCTCTAAGTAGAGCAGGAAGTGTGCTTAACCACTGAGCCATCTCTCCAGTCTCTACAGTTCACTTTTAAAGACAAAAATAGTAATTCACTAAGCCAGGAATGATGGTACATGCCTGTAACTCCAGCACTCATAAAGCAAGGCAGGATACTGAGTTACACATAACAAGTCCTTGCCCCAAAACCAAAACAAGACAAGCAGAAAAAAACAAAACAGAACAATAAATTGGTCAGTTATAAATGTTAGCATCTACTTAACACAACTGTCCAATTATTTTAAATGCCTTGTGATTTCAATGAGAACCTGCAAGCCTATTCTGTCTGGAGAACATCATATGTGGAGAAAATCTCTCAACACACCTGTGTTTAAAAAGCTTAAGAGATCTCAAGTGCACACCATAAATCCCAGGGTTAGCAAACTGCTCCTGGTTTACGGGCGTCTCTCTGCTCAGAACAGGATACCAAGAAAAACATTTTATCAGTGCAGTATTTCACAGTTCTGTATCTGTAGAAAATATAGCCTAGGCACTCAGTGCACACCTACTACCTGAAGAGGATAAAAACTAGGCTCTTCCTTGAGATGACTTTCCTAGGGCCAACACTGTAAGTCATTGGTGTTCACAAGCCTTCTGAGTACCTCTACTTACAAATACACATTTAGCCTATAATGCCAAAAGTCAGGAAGCAGAGGCAAGAAGATTCACATTCAAGGCCAGCCTGAGCTATACGGTGAGATCTTGTCTCAGAACAACCTAGGTCCTTAATGGGGGTGAGGGTCAGGCAGGCTAAGGAGGTACCTCAGTGGCCAAGAGCTCTTGTTGTGCCAGCATAAGGATCTGCAATCAGATTTCAAGCATCCATATAGAAAGTCAGCCATGGTTTTGCACACTTGTGACCCTAGAACTGGGTGGAAGGATTCAAGGCAGGAAGATCACAGAGGATTGTTGGCCAGCCAGCCAGGCTAATGAGAAGTACAGGGAGGACCCCCCTCAGGACAGCACCTGTGTGAGGGACAGGGCCTCTTGGGCTCTAGGTTCCGAGAAAGACTGTCTCAAGGGAAATAGGTAGACAGCAATGGAGAAAAGCCAGCATTCTCCTCTGACCTCTGCACATGTACACACCACACTATATAAACAAACTTAGAAATCTGCCAACTGCACACACCACATACACTAAATAAACTTTTTAGAAATCTGAGCTAATGCAGACTGCTTGATAGTAGCCAAAAGCACTGCTTGGGTCATGATGGTATTAAAACTTTCTTTGTAAATGCTCCAAAATGAAACATAAGGAAAATTTCTGGACTGTTATCAATCTAGCTCATATGTAACTCCACTTATTAGGGGATTCAAGTGTCTGTATTCAACACCTTGAAATCACTGGGACCCATGTAGAAACAGCAGCCTTCTTCCAGTGAGACCTTCAAAACCAATTTTCTTGTCCTCATCTCCTCTACACACCAATCTACCAAGGTCACAGTTAGCAACTCAGTGGTTAAATGTAAACGTCCTAGAAGGTAACGCTTCCCGGATCAGCACCTCATGTGAAGAAAGGAAAATGAAACTCTTAAGTTAACACACAGTACTGAAGCCAATAATGAAATGAACATAATCTCCTGGTCACATTTCAGCCTTCTAACCTCCATTAAGCCATTTACAAACAAGGAAGCTGGAGTGAGAAAGACTGAGTAAGGCAGCTACAGTAAGCAGCAGACCAGATACAAAAGTCACTGAGCTATCTATCCAATGAGTGAGTTCACAAGATCACTAGGAAGACCTAAGCAAGCAAGTTTCTTTCTTACCAAGCCTGAGTCATCACATAAAACAGAAATATCACCAGTAACTACAAGACTAAAATGAAAGTGTTCATAAAAGGGATTATTATATAGATACATGCTTTTGTGCACATTGTCTCTGATGATAAAGCAAGAAATGTAAAATCCCTGATCCAGCAAATCCCAACACTTCCAGAAACAAGCAGAATGCACTTCTTAGAGCCTTGAGCTAAAATTAACTCAGGCAGCAAGCAGTCCTCTCTATTTTTAGCTGAAGGGGAGTGGAGCTGGGCCAGGTTCCCAGTCAGGGCTTACCCAGGAGTCAACGCCCTCCTGCAGGCT